TCCCCATATGTTGAATAAGCAATCAATTACTTCCCCACAGGAGAAAGTTTTTCATGTCTGTCATTCATTTAAATGACTAGAACAAGGGAAGGGACTGAGCGCAGGAAGAGTTGAAAGAAAAGCCAGGATCATGCAGTGCAATGAGGAAAGTGGTCCTGCAAGACATCTTCGTGCTGAAGAAAGAGACTGTGAGGATAGTTACTTGTAAAAGGAGATCAGCTCTTGTCACACCTTCCACCTCACACCCAAAACCTCTGAACACGCACAACCCCCTTTCCCCCCCAGCCAGCAGCCTCTTTGATACAACATTGTGGGTATGTTTCTCACTTTAATCTTCCGCAAGTTGGTTCTGTTCTAATTAACAACTCAACCTGTGCAAGGGTTTCCCCGCATCTCGCAGACATCTCAGGTGCTGTTTCTTTCTCTTAATTTTCTTCCAGTGTCAACACAACTTTTTAGAAGCATCAAGGCACTGCTTTTTGTAGGCTTTCAAGTCACTCTTTCTTTTTAGATGCCTGCTAAGTCAACCATAAATTTATGGTTACGAATACCACTAGTTTCTGAACTTTTATTTGACTTCATTCACAATGCAAATACAAAATAGAACTTCAAAGTTGAGCAGAAATCCTTTTGCTTCATGATAGCCCAATTCCTTTCCACATTTCTTTTCAAGCATGCAATGACAGGATTAGCTGGGGATTAATTACTTGAAACTCAACCTGCATCTCAGGTCACAATTTTCTCATATTTTCAGCCTTTACAACTTTCGTATCAACCAAATATTTGTCATACAGACCAATACTTACAACAGATAAGATACTCTTCTTTCCACACAAACGTCCTAGTTGGAGGTCTCAAAACCCAAACAAAAATGCTGCTTACTGTGCAAATTCCAATCCTCCCACCCCAAGTTACAGTCCCATTCCCAAATGGAAACCAGACTGCTTTCCAAAAATGTCACCTTTAAAGGCACAAAAAAGATCATTCCAAAAAGCAGTATTTCCTGCTTCCTGTATTGTCCCTTAAAGGCAACTGCTCTTCTGATAAAATATACTTATGGGAGGGTAACCTAAACAGTCAGTTTACGTGCAATGTGATTTGTTTTTTTCTTAACTTTTTCTGTATGAATGGTCACAGTCTGGATTAAAATACATCTGTGCCTACATATTGACTCAGAACTGACTGTAAAATTTGGTTAGCAGCACAGCAGGACTAGTGTAGGCTGGACACTTCATGGAAGCTAGTCATTTGAAGGGAGTCTTTTTCAATATAAAGGGTCATCTATGTAATCACAGCATGTAAGAAGATCATTCCTTAATTAAGATATCTCCTGCCACTGTTGTCCTAGAGGAAACACATTATCGCCATGGTAAGGACAAATGTTGCCAAGTAAAGATGTCTACAATTTCACTTTGACTTAAGTCATAAAAGCAAAGAATAAAAATGCCTCCAGTCCTTTTTTTATGACTTGTGTCCTCCAATCAACAGGAAACATTCAGGTTCATGGGCTAGGTGCAACTATTTTCTATTTATTTATTACTTTATTTTGTTTACAGATCTTTTCCTGTCCAGTTCATTCTTGTTGTAACAGCAAAACAAAACAAACGGAAAAAAACCAAAACCAAAACAAAAAAACCCTCCTCTGCCATTAAATTTCACTTTCTACAAAAATAATCTTGGGCAAATAAGATCTGGCAGTATCACTCTGAAAATATCCTCAAGTGATTCTTTGCAAACAGATTTAGGTTATCTATAACAAACTAATGGCCAAAAAAGACCATTACTTTAATTTTATATTGAACCTAGTCTGACACACATGCCATAAAAGGAGCAAAATTAACCGCACCACCTGCAAGGCACATCTTACTTGCTGCTCTGAGAATGAAAAAAGTCGAGAGCAGGAGAGAAGAGCAAAAAAGAAAGGCAAACCAAGTTGAAGATAGAAGGGTAGATTAAACAATAAAGACATCAAGAGAAAGAAAGTATTAAAAGCAAGTGTTCAAGCATGTTCAAACAAAACACAGGTACTGTGTTACACACTATATAAAACCAAGCTATGCCAAATTCCCAGTGCCCCACTTGTGAGCTTTGCATTAGAACAAAAACTGGCAAGGAAGGTGTATGCTTCTTCAGGGAAATGCTTTTGAACTAAAAAACACACAGTGGTGTTGAGGCAAGAATAAGCAGGGCGAAAGCTTTCACGAGAGACACTTTTGGTTGCGCGAGGAACGTGGGTTACTGGTAGCATGTGCATTTTTGCACTTTCACAAAAGGTAAATATGATCTTGACACTGCACGGAAGGAGTCCTCCATGTCGAAATTTTATTGAACATGAAAGACACCCTTGCAAAAATCTTTTCATGTCTGTATAAACACAGTAGTTTAAAAGTGGTAATATATAGATAATACTTAAATGCTCAAAATTATATACCTTTTCCTCAACCATGCTCACTCATTATTATCTTAGACCACTTACATAAATTACTCCAATAACAACTTCCCTACAAATGGATGGAGAAGAGCTAGTTGCCACTTTTTAGCTCAAATGACTGCCTTGTTTTTCTGATAGCAGTGTACTACAGAAATCAAGGAGCACGGACCAGCTTGCCTGCAGTGATTCCCTGTGGAGCAGATACCCAACACATGCAGTTTGGAAGCAGATCACCAGGACTCTCATCTATCCCATTCACATCAGCCTCTTGGCCCTTCTCTCCCCAGGTCAGGGAGCAGCCATCAGTCCCAGACAATAAAGTTCCCCTTTTCTCTTTACAGTAAGATTACTAAATAGAATTTTTTCTTAACTCCTTTTAAAAAACAGAGCTATCTAACAAGTCACTGCCTGTGCAATAGGTGGGGACAGAAACGATGTGTTGCACTACGACACTGTAGATGTCCCCATCGGAAAACCAACTCGCCCACCCAGAACACAAACCCAACAAACTGCTGTAGCTATCACACAGCTGCCAAACTCCTCCCATGCCACCAGCACCTGACACTTACCACAAAAACACAGGGCTCGCTCCACCTGAATGCATCCTAGCGCTTGCTTTGGCACCACCTCCCTGGCCTAAATCTCCTCTACCTTCCCAGCTTACCTTTCCCCTCTCCCCTCCAGCGAGCCTCATCTATGCTCCTGCCGCCACAGGGGAGCTGCTGCGAACTCCCAGTTTAGAAACAGAGTGCTAGTGTCATCTGAAAGGAGATGCCCCAAGGCCAGTCAAAGCTTGCTGTGGGGCGGTCCTCCAGCAACAAGTCTCCCTCAACACTGCTCTGATAATGATTAAAAAAGAGCTCAGTGTTATCATTGCCAGAGTGCACCAACCAGAATCTGATTATTGCCACTGCCATAGTATCACCAAAAATCTTTTATCTGCACTGAGGATCCAGCCTGGCTACAGCCGCAGTTGCTTGTCTTCCTTGTCGGGATTGCAGCACAGGCTTTCTGAAAGGCCAGTGTCTCCTTCCAAGCCTGGTGGTGGTAGGGGAGACAAGTTTTACCAGTATAACTCAGGGCCGAGTGCATTTTCCTGTCTTCATTAAGGGTTTACACCAGTGCTGCTACCTTGGAAGTCTGCCATCAATAAGCAGGTCAAACCCCTTAGTCTGGGAAAAGCCTCTCTATTGTTTTTTGTCTCATGAACAGTTCTTCAGTAACTATATATTTTTTTTGGAGAGGAGGGTGTTAGAAAACAATTGATACGAATAAAGAGCTCTCCTTCACCATTGAAAGTAAACTCTATGCTTAATAAGATGAAATAATTTGGTCTCTGGGGACCAGAAAACAATAGCCTCACTGTTGCACTGATACCTTGCAAGTTCTGTCCTCGTGTCACCCAAAGCAAACCGTAATAGGGACTGCTCCACAGCTCACATTCCCTTTAAACCTCTTAGCTAACCTCTTTTACCTCTTCAGGTTTCCCTCCTTAGCACAGACATGAATCAGTTGCTTCAGAAAACCTCAATTCCTTCAGAAAAATGAAGTTATCTTTTATGAGGCTGTCAAGGCACTTTACTCAAGTCCCCTGTGCTTCTTAGAAATATCCCTAACTTTTATTCTTTATGCCAGGAGTTGAGATTGCATAATGAAGCAAGTAATATCAACAACTGTGATTGACTTAAAAGGGAGTAACAGCAAGTAGAGCTTTGTCCTCTCTCTCTCCGAGCAGGATGAGAACCTACTAATTACTTTATTACAGTGTGGGTGGAAAAAGGAGTGAACTTCAAATCGGCACAGCATTCAACACAGTATTTCCTGTATAGTGAAGAATGAAAAACAGCCCCAAACCTGGAATAAATCTCCCTCCCCAATTCCTCCTTTTGTTTACACCAGGTTTGAGGTTACTTACACAGTGGCACAATATTAAAGATGCCATACACATCTCCACACCTTAGGGCATAAGCCCACCTTTAGTTGTCTAGCACTGAGAATAAACATTTCCTAGAGGCAAGCTACTACGTAATGCTCAGGATGATGTTTCTCGCATCCTCCTTCTTTGATCTGTCAAATAAAAGCCACCGCAAGAAAAAAAATGCTAAACACTATATTATTTTCCTGCCACAATTCTATACTTATTTGCTCTCATTTTTATGGATCTTTTTATCATTACTGATGCAGACAAACAGCCACTGGAAGCAGCCAAACAAACCATGTAAGGCACAATGAAATATTCAACACACACGTTCACCTTCAAGATAAGACAATAACATAACACCTGAAACCAGAGTCTTTTCCCAGGTACGCTAAGTTATGCCACTGAAGTCAAATGGCTTTTAGCAGTTTAATTTGCCCTCTTGATACTCAAAGGCACAAAGATTATTCCACTACTGAAAAATTTACCACCACCACTATACCACAGCAATGGCTAGGGATTTGCAAAATAACGAAGAATACCATTCAGACATCAGAGAGAGGACAAGAAAGGAAGATTCCTCGATGGGGAGGCCCCTCCATGAGGAACATCCTCGGGCTACAATCCACCATGAGCACAAGGCACTCTTACCTGTGTGAGTGAGCATGTGCCGCTGCAGGGAATTTGCCCATGGAAAGACTCGAGGACAGTAAGGACAGGGAATATTTTGCAGGCAGTCTGAGTAAGCGTTCCTCTTCCCTCTCAGCAGCTTATCTTCAGCAGTTTCCTTCTCATCCTCACTTGTTCCATTTCTGCCGCTTTCTTCCTTGAAACTGTCAGTGGACTGCAGAAACGGGCTAAATTTATTAGTGTCTGTGGTAGCCAGCATCTTCTCTATGCTGGCAAACTCCCCACTTGACTCCAGATCCACACCACTGCTAAGTTTAGGCTTATTTTTTGTTCCTTTCTTTCTACCTCTTTTCTTAGTCAACCCAGCCTCGGCAATGGGAGACTGCTCTGGATCACACGCCTGAGTCAGGTCACTGGGCAGGCTGGAGTCTCTCTGAATGGTGGTCACGATTGTCACTTTTGCTTTGGCATTCCCTGATTTGTCACACCCAGTGGAGCTGCTCACTGCTTTGGGACTGGTGTCTGCAGCCTCCGTTTTCAGCAAAGCGGGAGCAGAAGACACAGATGAAATGATCTGTGCAATGGAAGCCAACGGTGGCAGCTCTTTAGTTACTGGAGGCTTTGGCAAGAGAGGTGGCGGTGGTGGTTTAGGCCTCAAAGGTCTCAGCAAGGCAGAATTGCCAAGAAGAGCTGGGGAAATGATTGGGACAGTCAAATGCAACGAACCTTTCAGTGGCTGGGGATGTCTGACAGCCCTGTTTTTCTCTGAGTTCCCACTGGCACCAAAAACCAAAGGACACTGCAGACAGTTGTAGGCTTTATCACTGTTCCCAGAAGCAGCCAAGTCTTGATTCCTGGCTTCACATGGGACATCATCTTTATCCTTCTTCAGGGCTTTGGGGATGGACAGGTCGATAGGCTCCATGGAACAGTCATAGAGGGACAGGGCAGAAGAGCCAAACAGGTTCTCCTGCTTCACTTGCACAGCACCCAGGTTTTTGTTCTTCTGAGAGAAATCCAATGGCTCATCAAAATCCATCGGGAAGTTGCCCGCAGGTTCAAGTTTGATGGGAACGTGAGACGACGTCCCAAGCAAGAAGCCGTTTTGTGGCTCCAGGAAAGGTGTCATGGGCTTGCGGTCCATATAAGTGCTGTCCTCCAATAAAGGAGGATCTGTCTGGCTTTCCTGGGCACTGCAGTCCACCACTAAGATGTAATTCTCAATCTCCCTTTCTTGCACATGCAAGTGCTGCTTGAGGATATGGTGAATGCAATTTCTCTTGGCCGAAAAGGCTGTGCCACACTCCTTGCACTCAAATGGCTTCTTCTTCTGGCAGCCACTGTGCGTCCTCATGTGAATGCGGAGGGCCCGATAATGCTTCAGGTCCTCGCCACACAGCTTGCACACAGTGTCTGGGGAGCAGAAGGCATCTACCATCTCTGCAGCATTGCTGGTGACATATTCTATGTTCTTCTCTATATCCTTCCTGGTCACTTTGAGGTGCTTCTTTCGCAGGTGCCTCTCACAATTGGCTTTCACTGTGAACGGGTAGTGGCAGATTTTACAGATGTAAGGCCTCTCCCCGCTGTGTGTCCGCAGGTGCCGGATCAGCGCTGCCTTGTCAGCTGCAATGTAGTCACAGATGTTGCATTGGTATGGGGAAATACCCAAGTGAGAACGGATATGAGCTCTCAGGACACCAGAGAAGGCAAACACCTGGTCACAGAAACGGCAGGGGTACAAAACTTTCCTCATGGTTGGGGCTTTCTTGTTCGCTGCCCCTGCTATGATGGCTTTGAGGTCTCCTTCTGTGACCTCTTGCTTGATCTTGGCTTCCATACTCAGAGGCAGGAGAGCTTCGATGATGCTGTCCTGCTCCAGCTGCGTCTTCATCTCGTGCTGAGTTAAAGGCTCTACTTTGGGTTGGAGGAGCAACTGCGAGGAAGGACTCGATTTGGCTCCCGGCTGGGGGATGTGAGAGTTGGAGGAGGACTCCACCGAATTCTTGATCAGCCTCAGAGGGGGAGGTGGGAGGCTTGGGCTGATGCAGCCAGGGGAGGCTTGCTGGGCACTGATAAGAGGAGGAGGTGTAGAGGTTGCGACGACTGTTCGGGGCGTTACCAAAGGCTTTGGCTTCAGCGGTGGCATATGCTTGAAAATGGACTGCACAGGGACAGAAGGTGCCTTAGAAAGTGGAGGAAGACTGATCTGAGGAGGAGCGGAAGAAGCCATCTTCAAGATCTGCTGAATGTCTGCCAGCTCAATGGCAGACTCATTGGAGATGGGTTTTACCACAATACTGCTGTCAGGCTGGATGATAAAACCCTTCTGGAAAGGCTGCAGCGAGAGGAGCTTTATGTTTTCTTTTGTAGGAGGAAGGACTGAAAATGACCCTCCCATAGATGCAGCTTCCAGAGGAGAGAGGCTGAGCAGACCGGTGCTGCCGGGTTCCTGAGGTAGGTTACTCTTCAGTGCTCTAAGCCGCATTTCTTGGACCTCATCTTGTGTATTGTCCTCCTGCTTGATAGGCTTGATGTCTTTGGTGTACTGTAGGCCCAAGGATGCCATGAAGGCTTTCTGGTCTGGGGTCTCGCTGGGTGGGGTCGTGGACTGTGGCTTGTGCTTGTCTTTTCCCTGATCCACCACATGAGTTTCTGTGTGCAGTTTGAGCGCCGAAAGCATGGGGAATGCCTTGTTACACGTCTCGCAAATAAATCGATGGAAGTCACTGATGCACCTTCGCAAATTCGTTTCACACCAGACCTGCAAGACATGCAAAAATATTTAGAACAGACATCTCAAACGGGAAAGGCATCACATGCAGCTGCAAAACAGAAACAGTTCACCCTCTCTTCTACTGCCGAAGTCAAGGAGTTTAGAGCAGCCACCACCTACCTGGCATAGAGATATTCCTGCTCCACAGCCTTTAGTCACCTAAGTGGTGTATCTGAATTAGGGGCTGATTCTCCAGAAGTTCCCTTCTATAAAGGCAAACTCCTTCAGAGGGCTATTCAGACTCTCAAATACTTTTCCATCCTGAACTTCCCTTACAGAAACCTCTCTCACTTCACTGACAGGACAGGAGCCTCAGTAGACTACACAGCAAACTTCAGTAAGCTGGGCAGTAAGACTACCTCCTTTAGCTTTATTACTACAAAGAAAGTAGGAGGAGAAGAAAGGGAAAAAAAAAAGGCATCCAAGAGGTAAGACTACCACCTTTAGCTTTATTACGACAAAGAAACTAGGAGGAAAGGAGAAAAAAAAAGGCATCCCAGAAGGCAAAACAACATAAACCAACCAAAATAATAGCCCCCAAAAGCAAATCAATGAAATGCAGGGCCCAATGCGGAAAGGCTTCTGGTTAGTGAAGTCTGATCACATTTATTCTCCCAAGAATAACACTAAGCTTACAAATGGATTTTATACCTGTCCCTCAAAACGATCATGAATCCAAATGCTGTATTTAAATGCTACCCAGATAGCTCACGTGTTGCAAAAGTCCCACATCAAAGAAGAGCACAAGTGATAAACTAAATAGAGAGCTGGCAAGATCTTTATATACTCTACACACTTTGTTCAGATACTTCATAGGTCTTGCCTTACAGTGCAAGCAAAACTATTACAAAAGTAAAGTCCCAACATTTAAATCCCTTAATAACTTTAAATGTTTGCCATTAATTAGAAAAGAAATAAAACCAAGTTGTTTAAAAAGTTCTCTCTTCTCCTGACTTTGTAACTTTTATACCAAAACTCTGCTAGAGTTACAGAATGACCTACATGCTCCGCTGGACGAACAGCAAATTTCAAGTCTACCACCTTGCAGCCAGAAGAGCTGGAAATCAATGCTTTAATCCAAGTAGAATAAGAAAAGTGCAGATACTGAATAAGCATGGTCCTGCTGGATTGTGCTGTTGATTTCTTTTTTTTTTTTTAAATAGATAAGCAGCTTCATCCAGACCCAAATTAATGAAGGCAGGCAAGGTTTGACAGAGGGCAGAATAATACCATCCCATAGAAAGCTTTATGGCTCTCAGAAAAATATTTACAGACTACCTCCCTGCCTTTCCCCAGCCACTGCCCCTCAAAGGTGCAAAATCTTCAGACCTCACGTAAGGAACATAGTGGTAAGGTGCCTGGGATTGTTTTGTGAAGAAATCACTGAAGATGTCACCATTTAATAAGTAAGGTGACTTCCCAAAGTTTTTCGTGATAAAATCTTTCACACCACAACTACATCCTTGTTACAGTAAATTAAAATAAATAATGTCTTCCTTACCATGTGTCCTCCCTATTGATTTTAGATGTGGGATTGTTTTGGGAAGGAGAGAACTAATGGGCAGACTGGAAGGGGCAAGGATCTAATATCACCGAAGTTTTCCTTTAAAATATTTTTATAGATCTTTACACCAATAGTTATCCACTGGAATGCTGAAAAAAATCAACCCCAATATTCTCTAGATGAAAAAAGAAAAAGGAAAGGCAGAAAGTGTTTGAAGCCTACACAGATAGTGGTAATGTGCCATCCACAAAATATTCTACACCCAGTCTCTGCCTCATCAAGGACAAGTCTTTCAACGAATTCAGAAGATACGCACTGTAAGCTGGTACCTTAAGCTATGAAGAACAGAGAGTACCTGAGAAATGCGGGGGAACTTCCTACAGGAGAAGTCCGTGAATCCCAAGTCGTGGAAGCCTGCCGGAATCGAAGGGTTGTTCTGAATGAAAGGCTTTCCCATGGGATCTCTGGGAAGCTGCTTGTGGATAACTGCATTATGGCGCAGTAAGCCCCGATGAGTACGAAAGGTAATACAACAGATGTCACACCTGGAAAGGAAAGGAATAAAATAGAAATGACTTACTGACTGCTGCAAGCTTAAGAACTAGCATTCTTCTTGCATTAGGACAGCCTCCTTCCTCTCGCCCCATGATGCTAAGAACCTGCTGAATGCAAAACAAAGCCACAGCGCGTCAAAAACCTATCACCACAGAAAGGCCATTTCAATCACAGCCACTTTCTACCAGTTTCTGGCTATTAAGTTCACTGGAAGTTTAAAGAATACAGTACATGAGAACTAAGTGTCCCACACGGGCAGACGGCAAAGTGGCAGCCGAGACCACAGCCTTCTGACAACCTTCCCATTGTCCGACATAAAATATTTCAATGGCTTTACACCATTTCATTTTTACTAAAAAGTACTAGTAAAATAAAAGACATTTGAAAAAAATCAGTGACAAGGAGAGGCTAAATCAGACCTAAGTAGCAAGCAGCAGCAAATGTATAAATAGCACCTTTTTTAACTACTGCTTAAAACATACTACCGCACACCACTCAAATACCTGTGTACTAATTTTCTTCGTGCTGCCTTGCCATAAACTTTCACTGATTTTTCTCAAAGCTGTTATGAGAAATATACTGTTTTAAAAGGAAAACTAGTGCTCCTTGAAGGGGAGCAGGGTCAGAGGAAGAAGACCTGAAACAGGTTCAACACTTCTGACACTCATACAACCCCTTCACAGCCAGTGTGCCCCCCAAAAAAATGCAGAAGCAATGTCTTTTCCTACCCACACATTATTGCTATGATTTCTTGTTTTTCGTAAGTTCTCAAATCCCAAATTCAGCTAAACAAAAGTTTCTCACATAAAGTAGACTTGCGTTAAACAATCAAAGGTATTGGAAACGCAGCTATGCTGCAGGCAGTAAGGACCATGCAGCAACATTTGGCCAACACATCAACAAACAAGCCTATTGCCTTTTAAATATCTGGGATTTGAGCTCTCCAGCATGACAGGTCACGTCCACTCTGCATTCAACAAGTGACACACAGTTTCACTCAACATGGTTCCTTGTGGTTACAGCTCCAGCTCACAACCAAAGCATGGGTTTCACAGAAGCAAACACCAGTGAATGTGAAGCAGTCAGATTTTGCCAGTGAGAATATTATATGCACTAGGAGTTTTTCACGTCTCCCCCCTGCCTTAGTTCTCCCCATACTGTCTTTGCCCTCCACATCAAGGAAAAGGACATGTGCCTACTCATTAAAAAAACATCCTGCAATTAGAAATGACTTCTGACAAAATCCTGAAACCACCCCCTCCCTGTCCTGTCCCTAACAAACTCCCATTGTTGTTCTTTTTATCACTACATAAACTTCCACAGACCTTTTTTATTCCCTGAAAATGAAGAGATAACCAAGTCACCCACAAAGCAATTGGATTCATAGTCTCCGAGTGGTGAAAGAAGCAAGTGTGAAGTATATGTAACACGGCCTTTGTTATCACGGTACCCAGAAGGCTGGGACATAAATATTATGCGCTGGAGGTTTAATCTGTTTTATCTCCCCTGTCAATTCACTTGCATCCTACCTTTATAATTATTGCCAGCATAGTCCCTGCATTCCATTAAATACCGAACCAATGCCATTTACAAAGCAAACATTTACTTAAAGAGGTCTGCTAAACGTGACAACAATCTCGGGGGGGGGGGAATGCCAACACATAGCGCTCCTTCAGTGTCAGGATCTATGGCTCTCCTCCAGGTCACCTGGCAGCACCTATTCCGTGATGCAAAGCTTTCATCTTCAGCAAAAACAGAAACACACAACCACCAAAACCGCTGGGGGAAGGAGGGCACTAAAGGGTTAGAGCAGTCACCTGAAGAGCTTGCAGGCTACTGAAATAAATTCTTTTTTAGAGGTGATGAAAACACTTTGCGTGAAAGCAAGCAGTGACTCTGGCACGCTCCTCCTGGTACATCAGCATACAGACAACGAAGGTTTGCAAGCAATGCTGCTGCACCACCAGGAGCATCGCTGGCGGTCTGTGGGGCCAGCTGTTCTGCAGAGGGATACAGACCCTCACCGTGGGGCGTCTTGAGGCAGCTCCAGGGTCCCTGATGTGCCTGGCCTACCCCGGACTAGCAACCCAATGCAGCGGCTGTATCCCCTCGTGTGTGATGGGGCAGGCACAGCTACCATTGATGGGACCACAGAGCTACTGGGAGAGCTGGCCACAGTACTGGTACTGCCACAGTACCCCCAGGATTTGGGCTGAGCAGGAGCCAGCGCTCCTGGGCAAGCAGCCAGCCCCCACACACAGCGGGGAGGTGCGCTTCGTCCATCTTACACTCCCTCACCTCCATCGGCTGTGCGACATGCTGATTTTAAGCACTGGTTTATTTAGGGCTCCCATCAAAAGCTGCACTTGAGAGTAAATCTTTCAGAGCAGAGACCCATGTGAAAGTCCTTCGCAGTACACCTGTATCAACTACTATGCCTCAGGATAGTAAAAATTTGCAATTTAAAAATGGTGTTTTCCATGCAAAGGGAAACAGAAGTAATGTATCTTGAAAAAGGAATATGTACTTTCTCTCTTTTATAATGCATAGAATTAAACAACCCTCTGTATTTTTCTCTTTCCTCCTTAGTCTCCTCTTTTATTTTCCTTGCTGTGAGTGAAGAAGCAGCAAGCAAAAAGAGAAGTCAGGAGAAGGATTAAGCTCTTTTTCCATTCAGTCAAAAAGAAGCTCCTGGCTGAAAAAAGAAACATCCAGATAAATCACGCCTGTCATCTCAAGATGCAGGCACTTCAGGGCATATAAATGCACCGCGCCCTGGCTCAGCACCTTCCCCTGGTGTCACAGCTTACAGGATCACATGGGAGCTAGAGCACGGGAGGGACCCGTGGATGCCCTCCCTTCCTCTGCAGCCCAGGCACACCTGTAGAGGCAGCCGCAGCTTGGAGAGCTGAAATAAAAACAGCCGGAGAAAAGCACTCCCTGAGAGACGTGTGGAGCAGCCTCTCCGGGCCAGGCTCCCCAGGCAAGCAGGTGGCCTGGTGGGCTCCAGCGACCGCGCTGGCACCTTGTGCCCGTGCCGCTCGCCAAGGACAAGGGAGGTCATTGTAAAGCCGTTCCTGATGCTGAGGGGTGTCACCACGCCGCCGGCTCAGGAGGTCTCCCAGGCTCTGCAGACCTCACTTGGGCTTGTCAGTCTTTGCTACGGATGCAAGCTATTTAAAATACACGACCCGTTTGCCCAAGTGTATGCACAACTTTTTTTGTGTGTGTGTTTTTGTTGAGTTCCCTCCCCCTCACCTTAAGTAGAAAGGGAGTCCCAGCTTCTCCCAAATGACATGACTTGAGCTTTGAATACAATTAGCAATGCAGATACAGATATGGAGGTGTACCACCTCCAAGAAAAACTTACAGGTAGTAAGCTTCGAAACTAGTTAAGGCAAGCATCATTGCTGCATTGACTAAGTCTTGTGTTAATTTAAAATGGAGTAAGCTGCCATGCCTAACAATGCATTAACTGGAAGCATTAATTTTTTTTAAGGAAGCCTAACCATTAATTTCTCTGTTTTGCCATCAGTACTATTTTCCATCTTTAGGTAGTGTCAATGCCTACAGTATTTTTAAGTCTAAAACCACAGTCTAAGATGGACAAGAGAAAGGAATCCTAGGTCATAGGAACATTTTTTCATCTTGCTTAAATTGCTTAAAAAAAAGAAAAGTTAAATAATTGTGGAAAGTCTGAGAAGTCCAGCGTATCAAATAAAGCATCTGAAACATATGGTAATACTTTGTTCATGATGAACTTAAAAAAAAGCAAAACAAAACACCAAAAAACCCACCCTCTCCTTACAATTTCACAAGTCTGCTCATGTGTAGTGCCAAGTCAAACACGGATAGTATGGCTGCAGAGAACAGAGATGGGAACAGGTTCTGAGGTTGTTAGCAGAACAGGCAGAGCAATGGCTCAACACCTGAATGGAGATAAAAGCACTCTACTTGCAAGGTAGGTTTCCAGATGTAGCAAATAAAAGCTGCTGTGTTATCATGTGATTGCTAGTCTTGGCCACAGTTTTCCATTTTTCTATAAATATGATTACAGAGCAGAGAGAAGAAAGCTGTTCAGTTCCAAGCACAGAGATTCAATTATAAAGAAAAAGGAAAAAACTGCTTTTAGCAGCTAAGACTGCTTTAAAATGAGCTTCATTCTCAATTGTCTTTATGTTTTGGAGTCGTTCATACCTGTACAATGCGAACGTAATACTAGGGCTCTGGTTCACTGGCAGAAGTGTACAAAGCAAGCGGGTGAGAAAACAGAACTGCTAAAACACAAAAGCAGAACTGAAATATAACTGTGCGATGACAATGCAATGAGCAGGCTGACCTTGGTGCTCAGGCCACATATCACACCCGGTGAGTCTGTTTAATTATTACTACACCAGTGCACCTTTTTTGTTTTTTTTTAAATGCAGACAAGGTCTCTGTGTAAAAACACACCATTAAAAAGCTTACTAGTAAAATAAGTTAGTATTCTTGAAATCCGTAATGCTAATTAGGATATAAAAGCATTTTAACAGGCTTTAAGAAATAGTCAATGCTTTGTGCAGCTTGTTCAAGAGGCAAGCCAGGATTTGCTACACTTATAACAAGCGGCACCTATGCAAGAAAAGTTTACATAAGCAATGCTTGTTGCTTTGCATTACACTCTCCTCTGAGCCAATTCCAATTTGTCAGCAATGGAAATAGCTTTTTTTCTTTAAGAAAAGACATTTTAGAAAGGAAATGCAGAGCCAAATTTTAAGCCAAACTAATCAGTCTTGATTTTGATTAAGGGTAATGCAGTCAAACATTCAATCCTTCTATATTTTATCTTTCAGTAGTCAAGATGCAAATTCCAAATATTTATATCCATCATTCTGTTACCAATAAATTAAACAAGCACTGTGTTTTGCATTACCTGAGACTGGCGGCGGGAAAGGGAAAGTGACTTTTAGCATTCTTCTACTTACACTTCTGAAACCACACAAGAGTAGAC